CAATAAGTAACATTATGATAAACCAAGTCAAGATTGAATTTGTTAAGAATTTCATTTTACTTGTATTCATAATTGGTACCCATTGAAACAGCAGTCAAGAAATCAAACAACATATTGCAGTAAGCAGATCTGCTGCAAAAGACCCCTTTAAAGTGTTGAAAAGCAAAGACATGCTTTGAGGACCGAAGTTGTGCCTGACCCAAATCATGGCATTTTCAATCACCCTAATGTGTTTGTCAAAGATGGACCATGGATGAGGGAGACCTGAATAAAAAAATGATGCCTTTGAATTATGGTGTTGACAAAGAATATTGAATTTACCTTGGACTGCCAGAACAAAGAAATCTGTGTAGTAAGAAGTACAGCCAGAGTGCTGTTTAGAGGTGAGGATGGCGAGACTTGGTCTTCCATATTTTGGACATATTATCCAGAGGGTTCAGACACTGGAGAAGGGTATGGCGCTGTGGGTTAATGCGTTGAACTGTGAAGTTGGTTTGAAATGCTAGGTTAGTGGTTCAAGTTCACCAGCCGCTCCTTGGATACCTTATGCTATGGGTAGGAACCGACTCAACGGCACTTAACAACAACAAAGTAGAGGATTAGTGAAAAAGAGGAAGATCCCCAACAAGGTGGATTGGCACAATGGCAGCAGAATTGGTCTCTAACAACACATGCCCCACACCTGGCACAGCCAGGCCCACTCGAATTATGTGCTCTGGAGTTCTGGTGTGGTGTTATAGAATAAGCATTGGACTGCTAACCCCAAGTTTGGCAATTCAAACCCACCAACCACTCCTTGGAAAGCCTGTACAGCCTCATTATGAGTCAGAATCAACTCGATGGCACTTAACAACAACAACAATTCAAAATGGCTACAACAGTGCACGGACAAGGAGCTGCCAGAAGTTGAAGCCAGATTCAGAAGTGGACATGGAACGAGGGATACCGTTCCTGATGTCAGATGTTATCTTGGCTGACAGCAGAGAATACCAGAAAGATATTTACTTGTGCTTTATTGACTGTGCAAAGGCATTTGACTGTGTGGGCAACATTGCAAAGAACAGATATTCCAGAACGCTTTATTGTGCTCATGAGGAACTTGTACATAGACCAAGGGGAAGTCATTTGAACACAACAAGGAGGCTCTGAATGATTTAAAATCAGGAAAGGTGTGCAACAGTGCTGTATCCTTTTACCATAGTTATTACATATGCTAAGCAAATAATCCAAGAAGCTGGATTATATGAGGAAGAATGTAGCATCAGGAATGGAGGAAAACTCATTGAAAACTGCAATATGCAGATGGTACAACCTTGCTTGCTAGAAGCAAAAAGGACTTAAAACACTGAAAAAGATCAAAGTCTACAACCTTCAGTATGAATTGCACCTCAGTGTAGAAAAACTGAAAATCCTCACAGCTGAACTGATAAATAACATCATGGTAAATGGGGAAAAGATAGAAACTTTCAAAGATTTCATTTTGCTTTGATCTACCATCAACACTCATGGAAGCAGCAGCAGTCAATAAATCAAATCGCATATTGCATTAGGCAAATCTGCTGCAAAAGACTTTAAAAGTGTCAAGAGCAAAAATATTAGTTAGTTTGAGACATCAAACTAAGTGCCCATCAGCTGAAGAATGGATAAACCAACGGTGGTCCATACACACAGTGGAATATTATGCTACCTTGAAGAACAACAAGGAAGCTGTAAGCCACCACGCAACATGGATGAACCTTGAGGACATTATGTTGAGTGAAATTAGCCAGTCACAAAAGGAGAACTACTGCCTAGGACCACTACTGTAAAAGACTAAGGAAAAGAGTGATACTAAAAGGGGTGTGGGAATTCTTTGCTGTTTGCTGGTATGTGGGGGGTAGGATGAGGAGAGGGAGGGGAAGGTGGAGCACAGGGTAGGGAATAGACACAGGACAGTTTGGGTGTTAGGGGGAAAAAGGTGTCAAGAGCAAAGTTATTAATTAGCTTGAGGACTAAGGTGCACCTGACCCAAGTCCTGGTGTTTCAAATCACCTCATATGCTTGTGAAAGTTGGACAGTGAATAAGAAAGACCACAGAAGAATGAATGCATTTGAATATTGAAAGTACCATAGACTGCCAAAGAACAAACAAATACGTCTTGGAAGAAATCCAGCCAGAATGCTCCTTAGAATAGGGAATGCTGACTGAGACTTTGTCTCTTGTCCTTTAGGCATGTTTTCGGGGTGGGGGGTGGGGGTGGTCAGTCCTTGGAGAAGGACATCATGCATGGGTCAGTGAAAAACAGGAAGGCCCCCAGGGAGATGGACTATCAGCAGTGGCAGCAACAGTGGGCTCAAACAAAAGAACAATCGTGAGGGTGGTCCCGGAGCCAGCAGTGTGTCCTTCTGTTATGCATAGGGTTATGATGCACCTAACAACAACAAGCGACATACAATTATGCTAAAGATCTGTAACTACGTCACATAATCCCCCATGGGTGTGGCCACCCTATAGACCCCACAGAATGTCCATGCGCCCCGGATCCCGAACAGGACCATTGGACTCACCTATAACCCTCAGCAGGCATCAGACTGTGCCCATGAGTTCTCAAGGCTCGGGCCACAGGCAAGAGCAATTCTGGCATCGCTCCTGTATGGCCATGACCTTGCAGAAGGCTGTGGTGAGCTTCAATCTCTTAGGTCAAGACCAGCAGACAGGGGATCCTGTGAACTCTTCCTGGCCTGCAGCTCCCCCGCCCCTCCTTCATTGAATTCTAGGTGCTGAGAGAAATCAGGGTCCCCAGTCTCAACACAGGCCACTGTATTTCCTGGGGACCCTTGACCTGCTCAGGGTGGAGACACCTGGAGCGGACAGAGCCCCGCCTGTCAGAGGCCTCATCACGGGGTGACTCTTCCATGATGCCCTGGTAGTGGAGTATGGAGTCCTTCCCTAGGGCTGAAGGGAGGCTGTCTCTGGTCCTCTCTCTGAGCATCCCTGGAGGCTGTGGGAACCCCTCTTGCTTTCTTTCATGGTCCTCCCCACATCTTTCCTTATCTCTCATGGGTCCCCGTCCCTCAGCTTCTCCCACCTCCACACCAGAGTGGTCATGGTGGGACAATTCTAGCTGCTGTCCCCATACCATCTGCTCATGTCCTGGGCTCCCTTCTTCCCCACCTTAACTAGGAAAAAGACACAGTGTCGTTGAGCAGACCAGCAATCCTGGAAGTGGTGCAGGACTGAGCAGTGTCTCGTTCTCTTGTACGATGACACCATGAGTTGGAGCTGCCTTTATGGCGGCTGATCACAGCAACATTGCTCAATGATCCAGCTTTAGTTGTGATCAAGCAAACGATGAGCCAAGGAAGTTTGATTAAAGTCATAAAACACATCAAAAACGAGTTTTTTCAACCAACAGGGTAGGAACAGTGTAAAGTATGGGTGGGGAACAAAAGTCCTCCTCTATATACAAAAAGTAAGTGAAAATGGATCATAGGCCTAAATGTAAAGTCTAAAGCTATAAGACTTCCAGAAGAAAACAGTAGGAGATCTTTGTGACTCCTGTTGTATCTCCTGATAATATGTCCCAAGTATGAGAGACTAAGTCTGGCCACGTTCACTTCTAAGAAGCATTCTAGTTGTGCTTCTTCCAACACAGACTTGTTTGTTCTTCTGGCAGTCCATGGTACTTTTAATATCCTTCTTCAACACCATAATTCAAATACATCAATTCTTCTACAGTTTACCTTATCCATTGTCCAATTGTCACATGCTTATGAAACAATTGAAAATACCATTAGTCATTAGAGAATGCAAATACAAACCACAGTGAGACACCTACACGCATGCAAACACATCCCAAGGATTTGCTGTTGTTGGTAGGAATGCAAAATAGGACAGCCACTCTGAAAAGCAGTTGGGCAGTTTCTTTAAAAGTTAAACATACACTTACCATGTTGTTTTGGTTGTGTGCCTTTGAGTCAGGCCTCATCGTGGCCCTGTATAGGGTTTCTGAGGAGCAGTGAGTTTGAACCACCGACCTTGCAGTTAGCAGTACAGTGTCACACCAGGAAGGCTGCACATTTATCATAGGACACAGCAGTCTGTCATAAAGGATTGACCCAAGAGAAATGAAAATGTGTATTTACATCATGCTTCTAGGGACTTTACCATGACTGCTCAAAACTGAAAGCAGCCTCCATGTCATTCCACGTGAATTGATGAGCAAGCTGTGGTATATGTGGGAGACGCAATATTGTCCAGTGGTAACAAGGAATAAACTATAAATCTTACAGCAACATGCATACATATTGAGTTGTCCATTTATATGACATTCTGGAAAAGACCCATTGATAGAGACAGGAAACAGATCTGTGATTTCTAGAGGTGGGGTGGGAAGGGATAGGAGGGAAATTTAGGGGAGATAACGGCTCTGTATCTTGGTTGTGGTGGTTGTTACATGACTGTATGTCAAAGCTTCCACAACTGTACACTAAAATGGTGACGTTTACTATATGTAAACTATGCTTACTAATGTGCTAGATGGCAAAGTCAGTTTGAATTACAAAGTTGATGGTTTGGAAGCCCTGTACAGGGTTGCTATGGGTTGGAACCCACTCAACAGCAGTTAACAACAACATACCACAATATAAGGAGCTCTGGTACCATAGTGGTTATGAGTCAGGCTGCTAACCTCAAGGTCGGCAGTTTAAAACTGCCAGCCATTCAGCAGAAGAAAGATTTACAGCCTCGGAAACCTTATTTAGGGTTGCTAGGAGTCACAACAGACTCCATGTCACACCACCATCACCACCACTATACCCCAATATACCTGATTACATTTTTAAAAATTCATAAGGGTAAATAATTTATATCCAAAGCTGAGTCAACTACATTGTATGCATTACAGGTACTTTGGGAAAATATCTATAAAAGCATATATAAATCAGACCGTTCTATTAAGTCAATGATCAGTTAAAAATGAGAAAGCTCATTATGAATATTTCTTTCTCTCTTATTTCAGAGCACTGTTCCTCCCATGATACATAGCATTTTACTGTTGGTGGATAAAGAATCAGCATTTAGGCCTGACAAGGATGCAGCAATTCAGGTAAAGGTATTAGACCTCCACGCTAGGTATGTGTGGTGCCTACAGTTGAGTAGCTGAGGACACACATGAAAGAATGTGTCTAAGTTCCGACTGCAGCCAACTGGGAGTCTGAAAACCCAACACCGGTCCCTGAAGTTCTTGAGGCGTCCTGCAGAGTGTATCTGAAATTTCATCTTTCTTTCCCACCACAATCTTTTTCTTTACTTTTCCCTTCCTTGGGGTTTCTTTCGGTCTTATTTGAAATTGTCATTATTTTGCCTCCATTCTTGAAGGGTATTTGCTCTCTACAGATAGTGCCTAACAACTCAGTTCTGATACAAGTCAAATACCACATTGTTTTTCGTTTTCATTACAAAGCATGGCAATGTATTGAACATTAAATCATCAAATTAAACCTCTGTAAGTGAACATGTGAGAATAATCACATTGGTCTATTACATGCCACAAGCATCGTATCAGTATATAGTACTAACAATAAGATATAAAGCAAAACTGGATTGGCACAAGTGTGGTTCTTCATAACTCAAATACATCATAACTTGGGGGCTGCCTGCTCATAGAATTCTGGATTGCTAGAGTCACATTTTTTCCCCTTTCAGCTCTTTTACGATGCTGTTCTGTTGTCTTCTGGCACCCATAGTTGCTGATAAAAAGTCTACAGTTCCTAAAATCAATCGTTTCTCTATCTGCAATGTGTCATTTTTCTGACTGCTTCCAAGGTTTCCCTTTACTTCCAACTGAATTTTACGATGTTGTGCCTAGGCCTACTTTTCTCATATCTATTCTGCTTAGTTTTTGCTGAACTTTTAAAATCTGTAAATTTATATCTAACACCAAATTTCAGGAGAATTCACCCATTATTTTTGAAGTGGTTGTTTCCTGCCTCTTTCTCTTGAATTTCAGTTATACATATTGATATTGCAACATAGGTCACAGATTCTATGTTCTCTCTCTTCTTCAGATCAGATTGTTCCCATTAATCAATCTTTAGGGTCGGTGACTTTTTACTCGGACATCTCCATTCAATTGTGCCTATTCAGTGAATGTTGTGTTTCACATGTATTTTTTTTGTTCTAAAATTTAGTTATAAAAGTTTCAGTGGGTTTTAAAAAATATTTTTTAAATAATCTCTGCTGAAATTTTTTTTTTTTGTCTTTTCACCCATTGCTGGCGTGTTTTCTTTTACCTCATTGAACATAGTTATAATATGCTTTTGACCACTTGTCTGTCAATTTATCATACTGTGGTGGCTTGTGTGTTGCTGTGATGCTAGAAGCTATGCTACTGGTATTTTAGTTACCA